GCATTGCAAACAATAGCATTAGAATAACGGCGACGAGTGGTGTATCGGCAGCCAATGGATTCAATTATTATCTTAAAAATTATCTCAATTGTCACATCTCTTGGTCTGGGGATCAGCTTAACATTAGCTCCGGTCCGTTGCCTATTATAAGCACTCCACTGACTATTGTGATCCAAGACAAGTATAATTACAACACGATTTTGATTTTATGTTAAGTAAACTAAAAGGTACAAGTATATTCTGTGCACAGACTTAGATATTATCAGAATGTGTGTACAGTTAGCTATTCATTCGTTTGGTGGGATTTTAAGCGATGGGAACGAGAGATTGATTGGATGGCTATGAAAGGCATTAATTTTCCACTTGCTTTCAATGGCCAGGAATTAGTTTGGAGAAAGGTCTTCGTATTTAAATCAAAATGACTTTTTCTTATATTTTAAGCACTTTTCTATTTTTTCATTTCTATCGACAGGTATTTCAAACATTTGGTTTAACTATCGCCGAGATTGACGAGTATTTTACAGGACCAGCATTTCTAGCCTGGTATGTGGACAGTGTTTGCAATGCCAAATTTTATTACACTAAATGGATGACCTCATTTTTATTTGTTAAGAAACAATATTTTTCATTAAATAACATTTTCATTTGAATATGAAAGGAACCGTATGGGTAATGTTCAGGGTTGGTCGGGTCCACTGACTGACAATTGGCATAAAATTCAGGCCATATTGCAGTCGCAAATACTGGCCCGCATGAGATCATTAGGAATGTTGCCGGTGCTGCCGGCCTTTGCCGGTCACGTGCCCAGGAATCTAACCCGAGTCTTCCCACAGGCACAGGTGTCCAGACTTACCAATTGGGGCAGTTTTAACCAAACATATTGCTGGTCAGTCACATCAGTCACACAAACATAATGTTTCTCAGTTGTAATAAACCCTTATTTGCATTCTTATAGCACATACTTCTTAGAGCCAGAGGATCCACACTTTGTCCAAATTGGGTCCGCATTTATAAGCGAAGTATGTTTTCCTATTAATTCATTTTAACAAATTAACTCAATTAAATAATTATAAATAAAGTACACATCAATGTTCGGCACCGACCACTTCTATAACACCGACCTTTTCAATGAGATGACACCAAAAACTAAGTATTCATATTAAAAATAAGCACAACCAAATTTAATTAATAATATTAGTATAATTTTTAAAAATGTCAACTGTATACTATAAAAATTTAAATTAACGAAAGGCTATACCGTAATATAGAATTAATATGGAAGTTTTCATTGAGTTATTAGGATACTACTAAACTATTAGGATATTACTAAATAAAATCTAATTATAAATATATTAATAGTGCCACAAAATATTTATCTGACTGCGGAAATGCTGTTTATCAGAGTTTGGCTAAAAGTGATCCCCAATCTATTTGGTAAGATTATATTCTATATGCACAGTAATATGAACCCAAATTAATCAAAGTATGATCACAAATATTTAATCTTGCAAGCAATTTTTCTGTGCTTTTGACTAAAGTATAAAAGCTTTTATCGTTTTTATAAATAGCAAATATTGTACTTTGCTATAAAACCATGAAAATTCATTAATGATTCAATATTGTAGTACAATATTTGCTATTTATAAAAACGATAAAAGCTTTTATACTTTAGTCAAAAGCACAGAAAAATTGCTTGCAAGATTAAATATACTGTATGTGATCGTACTTTGATTAATTTGGGCTCATATATTTATAATTTTCACAAATTAATTCAATACAATGAATGTCATTTCATTTTAAAGGGTAATGCAAGGTTGGTTATTTGTAAATGAACCTGAATATTGGCATAAAGATCAGGCTAAAGCTTTGTTAACATCTGTACCACAAGTATAAACACAATTTATGATTCATAGTCATTTCAATATAATAAATTGTCTATGATAATGATTTATTAATACACCGTATAATTTTGTTATAAACTTATTTGAATTCCACTAACACTTTGCCATACACTGTATTATAGGGAAAGCTATTAATTTTGGATTTAATGTCCGAATTACGTCCACAATATACTAATTTGGATGGTTATTATGGACAGCCCTTCATCTGGTGTATGCTTCATAACTTCGGAGGTGCTCTAGGAATGTATGGCGCCTTTAATCACATCAATAAAGTATTATTATTTTAATATTTTACATATTCTCTTCCTAATATAATCTCTTAAAAATTATATTGCTTACCTATACTATCTTACTGTAAATATAACTACTGTAAATAGAATACTGTTAAAATTATTTGTTCAGTCAGATACTAATTAGTCATATCATAATTAGCAAGAATTTGTATCATTAATAAACATAAACCAGTGATTTTTACACTTGTGCTCACAATACCATTTGATGCATATAAGCTCTATTATTTACAGTACACTGATTTTATTAACTATTAATTAAAACAAATTTTTAGGATGTGTTTGAAGCGAGGGGTCAGTACGAGAATATGCTGGGCATAGGTCTTACACCGGAGGGCATTGAGCAAAACGATATAATCTATGATTTCATGACTGAAACCACTTGGTATACATCGCCCGTAGACCTCAACCAATGGGTCCACAATTACGCGCTCCGGCGCTACGGATATATCAACGATGACCTGAGCCGGGGCTGGCATTTGTTACAAGTGAGGCACTAATTCATGCTGTACTCTACTGTGCATTCAATTATTATCATATGATTATTGCTTAAACTTTTTAATATAATATATTTGAAAAGCAGAACAAATTGAGGCAACAAATGCTTAATTATAGCTTCAAATGCTTGCTTAACAAATGCTTTCAATATTGTTTACATGTAAAGAAAGTTATTAAGTTTAATACTGTATAACCGTTGTTATACCGGTATAGACTGTAAGTTACATATACTGTACCAAACATTATACATGAATATTCATATTTTTATAATGTTTAGTACAGTACAGTATATGTCACTTATATTAAAATTGATAGCAAACTTACATGTACTTTAAACCATATTGAAAGATATAGTTATAACATTTTTTTGCAAGCCCCAATTTGTTCTGCTTACTCAGGTATGATAATATTATAATATAATACATTATATATTATATTAAATACTTATAATTAATTTATTTAGCAATATTATCTACGTAACAAAATACGTAAAAATAAATTAAATCTCAGTGAATAAACTAAATAATTGACAAAGTCTTAAGATAAATATATGAAGTAATTGATATACTGTACTGTATACTATATATTTGATATTATAATATGATTTTCAAACAGACCAGTGTATTCGTTGATCCGATAAGGGTGAACAACCATGGTAAATATACCATAAACCATAGGCCATCACTTAAGTTCAAATCAGACCTGTGGTACAAACCCATCGATGTATTCAATGCTTTCGAGCTGTTTGTGAACGGATCGACCGCTTCTCAGCTCCAGAATAGCTCCACTTTCCAGTTGTTATCCATTGTCTGTCAGTTTAACATTCAA